TAGAAGATTTCAGAAAATTTAGGATAAGACTGTTAGATATTAATATAGAATGGGTTAAGGTTATTAACGCCAACAGAGCTGCTCAACAGGCCATGAACAGCGTTTGCAGCCTGCCCCCCTGTATAGCCCCAATCCAGTACTGGACTAAAACCCAGTCAAGCTAATCAGTAGACAGATCAAACAAAAGATGAAAAATCAGCAAGATACAGGTGCGTAGCTAGGCAGTGATTAAAATATGTAGAACTTGCAAAGATAAATGGGAAATAGTTAATGGAACAACCAGAGAGGTTTTTTCAGGATTGTGTAGGTACGAGACTTCAAAGTAAAGGGGATGAGAAGATGACTGACCCAAGATGGACTTTGAAACCCACAGGATGATGACCGGACAGAACAAAAGAAGAATTGATGAGATAAGACAATGACGAATAGTAACGACATGGGAACCGAGATCCACAGGAACATTACAAAGACTTTGGACTGGGATAACGGGTGGTAAAAAGGTATGTAAGACAGAAATTTTTGGAAGGTTGCCATTCACTGCAGTGGTGGCCCAACTCTGAGTTGTTAATAAAGCAAAGCTAGAGAAACCCATGACTGAGAATTCTTTAACACTCACACTTATGCGAAGACTGGCCTAGTTATGTCAAGCAAACCTTCAAGCCATACTCAACGCCATCCCTTAATTCAATCCCCCCCCTTTTCTTTAAGCTGCTGCAAATTCTTTTGCAAAACCTCGTTTGCAGTCCATAATACATGTACTTGTTGAGCAACAGTCCGTATTTTCCACCACATCCAAAGGTTGAGAATAGTCAACAGTAGGGCTACAAGGATCAGCATTAGCACGGGATGCACTAGGAAGCTGAAAAACTGTGCAGCAGTCAGAGATTTTAATGATGTGCTTAGAAAAATGTCCCACCAGTGGTATTCCCCAGTTTTTTCGATGGTTGTGATGATGTTCTTTATTTCCAGAGTATCGTGCTGGACTTGCCATAATGTTCGATTAGAAGTTTCTTTCACCTTCTTTAACAGTGGTTCAATGTCTGGGTGGGAAAGCATTTTCTTAAGGACATTAATGTCCATTCCGATCTGTAGTTTAGGTACATCCTTGTACAGCATCTAACTGTCAGAGATCAACTGAGAGGTGGTTATAGGAACAGCATAGTTAAAATCACAACCTCGTATTTTGGTAAAATTACAAACACAAAAGTTAGTTCCATTTGTTTCTTCTTCACAAGTATCAATACTAACATTAGCACAACTAGTCCTTATACAGGCACATCTTTTCCCTACATAATATACCTGTGATTAAGCATGTCCCGAGGGAAGCATCCCAAAAGTACATGTACTGTCCTCTGTCTCTAAGCACAGATCTTCATTTTCAATTACCGCATTTTCATAAAGATATCCTAGTTGTTCCTCAGGGATGCAGGCTTCAGTACTAATACTCTGCTGTTTCCCTGTATTATTGCTATATTTTGCCCAAACATTGTGTCCTATTGGTCTGACTACTACATCTTGATGGATTGCCCCTAATGCTAAAATAGGGAAAATATCCCACACCTCTGCCTTTTGAATTGTGAATACACAGGCTTCAGTTTGTTCCTTCGTCTCATCATAGGTGAAATTAACTAGTTGCCACCAAGCCTGACGTTTTAATTCCAATGAGGTGGTAGTATCATTCTTGGCGATAATTTCTCTAATTTCATGTGGTAAGTTTCCTGACATCCCTTCCCTGATTATATCAGAAACCACAGATTGTATCCAAAGCTGGGTCTGTACACATTGAATGGCAATACAGACATTTCCTTGTGGTCCTTCCACGGAAGTTGCTACTGCTTGGAAATCCTTGTTAGTATGGTTGGATAGTAAGGAGATGAGGTCAGCAGTTAATTGCTGAGATTCAGCTAGAGTAATTAGGGATGACCTTAATGGTACCTCAAGCTTTCCCAAATCAGAGGTAACTGTACTTAATTTATTAATCAGTACCTCTTGACCAGTGGAGTTTAAAACTCCTAACCCAGGCCCAAACCATCCTGTTAAATCTCTCCGTTTCCTTGAGTGGTGAGCTATGGAATGTAACCATGCTTTCCATCCTTTAAGACTTTGTGAGACGAAAGGTAAGCATTCTGATTTTATCTGAGATATATATCAGCTTGCACTTTCACCTGTACCTTCTTTAAAGAATATGTGGGATCCAGAAATAATTTCTGCTCATTGGATTCTCTCACCTCATAAGGACCTGCGAATGAGAGGTTGTGGTATTTTATAGCGCAGTTAGCTGGTTCAAACAGAGGGATGGTGGTTGGACTGGGTGCAGTTACTGTAGTGGTTGGTTTTGGGGTGGTAGATAACATTTGTACTACTACCCAATAATCAAATACAGTGTTATTCCTTATGCATATGACTTGTAATGAGCGGTTAAGTTGTTTGCTATATTTACAATTCAGCCTTGTACATTTTACAATCACCATGATACTCCTTCCATCATTTACAAGCAAATAGGACAAATTGTTCTTACAGGTAATTTCTATCTCAGTTTGATTTATCCCTTCTGCATAACAATCCGTAAGGCCCGTGAAATTTGAAGTAGTGTTAGTTAAGTCTAACCAAGTTAGTTCTTCCCATCTATCTGAGCTCCTTATTGATATGTCGTCAGGTTGGTTTCCAGGTGTACACCGTCCATCAGGAGCATTCACACATTCCCCTCTGTGACAAGGGATCTCATCCTCCTCTTCTCTTGAATGTTTAACTATCAGAGGGGGGGGGGAGGATTGAGGAGAGTGCTTGATTCCATATTATATATGTGGTGGTCACGTCTATTTGAAATTAGAGTCGCTTGTCAGTATGATTTTGTCAATCTCCTTCCATCATGTATAATTCCTATGCACCAAATAATTGAACTAGCATTAAGTTGAACCTCTGCCTGACAGTAACCTTGATAAAACACACACACTGCCGAGTATACACACTGTTGTGGCTCTTCCAAATTGTATACATAAATGCCAACCATCATTACAGCAATTTGGTACTTTTGCTTCACTTTAAACTTACATGCCATACTAACCGAACTGTTTTCTTGTATTACAAAAGATTGGATTCATCCTGAATCTCCCCAGTCTCTCCTAATTTGGCTATCAATTTTTAAAACTGTGTATACCTTACTTATTTCATCTGTGATATCCAGACCTACGTTACCCAAGTACCCATTCCTAGTCCAGTCTTCAGGGTCAGGGACATCATTTAGATCTTGATGGGTGATGCAGTTGTCTGTCTGTCCAGCTGTGACGTAGAAGATCAAGCTAATGATTTCCGAAATCGCAGCTTTGCTGGTCCAGTACATTTGGAGGTCCATTTCTGCTCAAGTGAAGGATTCTCCTGACGCTTTGGAGCCTTCTTAGTTCTGGAATAGTGTAACCAAGCAGTTACACCTTTTAGCTTTACAGCAGTATATGTAACCAGTAATACTTGGTAGGGTCCTTTCCATTTCTTTTGGAAGGGGTCTTCCACAATTGTTTTTATGTACACATAGTCTCCAGGTTGTATATCATGTAAGGGGCCATCTAATCCCCTTGACTGAGTGCTTATTACATACCTATTAATCTGAGACAGTTGTGTAGATAATGCAATCATATAGTTCTGATCATAATGCTCTCCCAGTTGGTTTATATCTTCCCCCCACATGTGAGCCCACAGGGTCTTCCATACAACATTTCAAAGGGACTCAGTTTCTCTTTAATTTTAGGTTTTACCCTGATTCTCAATAAAGCCAAAGGTAATGCTTGAGGCTATTGTAAATTGGCCTCCTGTCCAATTTTAATGATTTTTTGTTTAAGTAAATGATTCATTTTTTCTACTTGCCCACTGGCTTGCAGCCTATAAGGAGTGTGAAGTGCCAGTTAATCTGTAGCATCTTACTCACTCCTTGCACCACATTGGCTACAAAATGGGAACCTCTATCTGAGGACATGCCAGCAGGTACCCCAAATGTAGGTGTTATTTTATTAAGCAATACTTTGATCACTTCTCTGGCTTTATTGGTCCTCATTGGGAAGGCTTCAGGCCATCCAGAGAAGGTATCTGTTAGGATCAAGAGGTACCGATACCCGCCTTTCCTTGGGAGTTCGGAAAAATTGATTTGCCTCTGTTGTCCAGGATAGTTTCCTCTATCTATCGCCCCGAATTCTACTTTATGAGTTGTCTGAGGATTATTTTGGAGGCAGACAGCGCACCTTTGAGTAACTTCTTTGACCACAGTATAGAGGTTTCTACCTATTATCCCTTTCCAGAGATATGTGCATAGGGCATCTCCTCCCCAATGTGTTTTCTCATGTTCCTTTACTACCAGCTGTCGTAAAGCCTTCTCAGGTATTACTATCTGTCCTTGAGGGGTTACATAATTTTCACCCCTTAAGGTGGCATGCAAATCTTGAATCAGTTCCTGGTCTTTCTTAGAATATGAGTCTCTAGAATTAAATTCGATCTAACCTTCAGGAATGAGGGGTTGTATGGTTACCGTACCTTGTCCTTGTTCTGCCACCCTTTTTGCCTCCTGATCAGCCAATCTGTTTCCCCTTTCTTGTTCTGTTTCTCCTTTCTGGTGTCCTTTGCAGTGCATTATGGCTACCTCTTGGGGTAGTCTGATGGCCTCTAATAGCTCTAAGATCTCCTTAGAATATTTAATATGCTTGCCTTGGGAGGTTAATAATCCTCTTTCTTTCCATATTGCCCCATGAGCATGCACCACCTCGAAGGCACATTTAGAATCTGTCCATATGTTGATTTGTTTTCCTCAAGCTTTCCGCAATGCTCTGATGAGTGCGATAATTTCTGCTTTTTGAGCTGAAGTCCCAGGAGGTAATGGCTTTGATTCTATGACAGAGTCAAGAGTGGTTATTGCATATCCAGACATACGTTCTCCATTCTTCACAAAACTGCTACCATCTGTATACCAGGATTCGGCATCGGGGAGGGGTTCTTCTTTCAAGTCAGGCCTCCTGGAGTATGTGCTTTCAATCACTTCCAGACAGTCATGGTGGAGGGTTTCTGAATCCTCCTGGTCTGATGACAGAAATGCTCCAGGATTGATTAGGTTAGTGTTGAGGATCTCCACATCATCCTGCTCTACTAGGATGGCCTGGTATTTGAGGAACCTTGAGGGAGATAACCACTGGCTCCCTTTCCAGTACAGCGGCTACTGTATGAAGTAGATACGAACACAGTCATTTTCTGACCCAAGGTAAATTTGTGAGCTTCTTGAATGTTGATAACCATGGCCGATACTGCGCTTAAACAGCTTGGCCATCCATTACTTACTTCATCCAGCTGTTTTGAGAAGTAAGCCACAGCTCTTCTATAGGGGCCGACATTTTGTGCCAGCACTCCCAAAGCCATCCCCTGCCTCTCATGTGAGAAAAGCAAGAACAGCTTGGAGACATCGGGCAGGCCCAGAGCTGGGGCCCTTAGTAGTTCTTCCTTCAAGGTCTGAAAAGCCCGCTTACCTTCCTTGGTCCACATCAGAGTTTTTGGATTGTCCTTTATCATCTGATAGAGGGGTTTGACTAAGATGCCATAATTAACCATCCACAGCCGACACCAGCCCGTCATTCCCAGGAAAGTTCTCAGTTCCTTAGCAGTGTGGCAGGGGGGTACCATAGATGGCTTTTTTCCTTTCTGCCGCTAGTTTGTGTTGTCTCCCTGATATCTCATACCGGAGATATGTTACTTCTTGTTGCAAAATCTGCGCCTTTTGTTTTAATACCTTATACCCACTTAGTCCCAAGAAGTTTAAAAGGCTTACTGTCCAAGATAAGATAAACAAGAGTCCTTGGTGGTCGTTGCTATCATCAGGTCATCTACATACTGTAGAAGAATCCATTCTCCTGGGGGAGCCGTCCATCCTTCAAGATCTTTGGCCAATTGGTTCCCCAAAACGGTAGGGCTGTTCTTGAATCCTTGTGGGAGCACTGTCCAGGTTAATTGTGATTTTTCTGCCTGTTTCAGGATCCTCCCACTTGAAGGCAAACAGTTTCTGGCTGTCAGGGTCTAAGGGTAGGCAGTAGAAGGCGTCTTTCAAACCTAAAACAGTAAACCACACATATTCTTCTTTGTCTGGTTAATAGAGTATATGGGTTGGCCACCACAGGGTGGAGATCTTCCACTATTTTATTGATGGCTCTAAGGTCTTGTTGGGCTTTTGCATTGGTAATATTGGAGTGTTATATTCTGATTCACACTCTATCAATAACACGAATTTCAATGTTTTCATTCCCTTGCGATCCTCTAATTTGAGAGGGTATTGTTTAATTCGTACGGGCCGCACTCCAGGTTTTAATTTGACTGTTACCAGTTGCGCTGTCTTTGCTGTCCCGGGGGTTCCACCTGCCCAGACTCTAGGATATACCTGGTTCAGAATTTCGTCTGGGATCTCTTCTGATTCTTTATCTGTAAGTAAAGCTAAACTCAAAATTTCAATTAGTTCTTTCTCATTTACTTTTAACTGTATTCCCTCAGGGGTGAATTTAATTTCCACTTGTAGTTTTTCTAATAAATCCCTCCCAATGAGAGATTTGGGTGCTTGGGGCATGTACAGAAATTGATGCATCCCTACGGATTTACCCAATTTAAAGGACAGTGGCTTCATGAATGACACCTCCTGTCGTTGACCTGTTGCCCCGACCACATTTATAGATCGTCCTGTGTCTATTTCTTCTAATTGTATATTTAACACAGAAAAGGTTGCTCCAGTACCCACCAAAAATTCAATGCCATGTGACCCATTCCCCAGCTTCGTCATAAGCAGAGGATCCCGTGGGGACTGATCCTCTGGTTTCCCCTAACCTTCTAATAGTTCTGCAACCATTGCCCTTCCATTTCTCCTTTTCTGTGGGCAATCTCATTTCCAGTGTCCCTCCTTTTTGCATATTGCACGTTGGTTAATGCCCAACCTGGTTTGGAAGCGTGGATTCTGTGAGTTCTTTCGAGGTGGAAAGGGTTTCGCACCCCCTCTTTCTTCTCTAAGGGCCACTATAGTAGCAGTAGAAATGAGTTTCCCTAGCTTCCATTTTTCAATCCCATTCCAATTTCAAAATACGCGCCAAGCTTCTTCCAATAACTTCTCTATATCATGCTGTTCCTCAGCCTTCAGTCTCTGGAGCTTTCTTCGGATATCATCTGGGGATTGCCCCAGGAACAGGGAAACTAGCTGCATCTTCCCTTGGTCTCCAGACAGATCCAAGGTGGTATATTTCTGCATTGTTTCCCAAAGTCGATCGAGGAACTAAGAAGGGGTTTCCATAGGGTTTTGTTTAATAGCAAATAAAGAACCCCAGTTTACTGTTTTCGGTATCCCATTTTCCAACCCGAATGCCACCCATTCCCGATATTGTCGCAAAAGTTGGTAATGGTCTATATCATTATAATCCCACCGAGGTTTCGACTGTGGGAAGTAGTCGTTTATATCCTCCTCATCCCTTATTTAGTTTCTTCCGTAATCTCTAGCAGTTTTAAGGACTAATCCTTTTTCTGTATCTTCTAGTGCGTCCAAGAGCAAATCCACATCCTCCCAATCTACATCTGATGCTTTTACAAATGCCTTAAATTGTTTTGCTACCCCTGCCAGATCACCCTGATATCCTTTAGCTACTAATTTCCAGGCATCTAAATATCCCACAGAGAGGGGTACCTTGAGTTTTATGGGACCCGCTGGTCCTGCAGCCTCTCTCAAAGGTGGCTGAATTACTCATAATGTCTCGTAATGTTGCAGTCCTAGACTTAAGGTCTCGTGCTCTGGTTTTAGGAGGTGAACTAGAAGGGTGTCTGAAGCTATGCCTTCATTTTTCAGTATCGGGTTCTTTCTTTCTCCCTCTTTCAATCTCGAGTGAATGGGGAGGGCTCAAAGGGGCCGCTTTGGGTTCTTCTAATGGAAGTGGCGACCCTATGCCTGTTCTTGCTCTTGTTGTCCCCTTCCCCACACACCTATAGGGGTTACAGAATCCTCCATTCTGTCCTCGTCCTCTTTATACTTTAGGCACCTTGATCCTATTGAACAAGACGAACAACCCTTCTTCATTCTACCCACTCCCACTTTACAGTTATCCTTTCCCAGGGTTAACATGAAAGGGTCATGGGGAGCTAAGTTAATAGCGCACTCCTTTTGCACCTCAGGGTGGTCGCGGAGAACAAAAAACATATCTGCACAGACCACTTCATCCCATTTGCCCTCTCTTCTTAAAAATAAGGTGAGTTGTAAAAGGGTATTATAATTTAGGGTCCCATTCAGTGGCCATTTCTCTCCATCCTCTAATTTATACAGCGGCCACCGTTGTGTGCAGTATTTAATGAGGGTCTTTTTATCCACGGTCCCTCCCCATTGGGGGGACCCCCAATGTCTTTCCAGTGTGCTAAAATACATCCTAGGAGGGCTGCGTTTTATTTGTTCCTTCCCCAGCTTATTTCCCATTATTATTGTCACACGCTTCGCTCGGCTCTGGCCACTCTCGTCGCCGAGAAATGGAACCGCAGATTATTGCTCCACGCTCGCTTCGTACTACTGTACGTCTCAGGCGTGTCTGTGTTTCTCGGGCCTTTCACACCATTCGCTTCGTCCGTTGCTGACCACATCCCTCGCAGGATGGTGGAACTGCAGCTTGAAATTCCGCACTCGCTTCGTGTTAATAACACGTCTCGCTCGCTCGCACATTCGCAGACCTCTCGCACAACACCAAAATAGCATCTAAGGTAAGGTCAGATTCTATCAGGCGATGTAAAACGATACCCCCGGGGGGCACAAAGAGACAACCGAGCCTATCTCCTGAAGTTCCCGAGTATCCAGAAGATGCCAACCAATTTCAGGACAGAATTCCCGCGCCGGTTCCCACTCTCTTATCTCCTCTCTAACTCAATTTAGAGCCTTACTCCGCCCTGTCCAATCCCAGCCCGTCCTTTCAATCCGGCCCCGCCCCGCCCGGCTCCGTTACACCCAATCCCAGCCCGTCTTTTCCATCCGGCCCCGGCTCCCCGGCCCCGATGCCCCCGTTCCCCGCAGGCCCCGATCCCGCCGCCGCCGCTCCGGGAGGCGCGGCCCGGCCGGAGGCGGAGGGAGCCCGGTCCCCGTGCGCCCCCTCGGAGAGCTCCCGGCGGTGCGGGGTCGCTGCGAGCTGCGGCGGTTCCCGGCTCTGGAGATCGAACAGTGACCGGGAGCGGGCTCGCTGCGGAGCCCCAACAGGGATTGAAGCGGCGGGCTCGGATTGGTGGAGCGGAGCCGGGCGGGGCGGGGCCGGATTGAAAAGACCGGCTGGGAGTTGGGGGAGCGGGGAGGGGCGGGGCGCGGCCCGGGGGGGC